ACGATACTCGAAATTTTACAATTTCCACTTTATTACTTGGCAACGAATCGTACACTTGCGGTGATTTAAATTCGAAACATATTTTCGTGAACAGTTTTCGCAAGAGGATACCATTGCTGAAACAACCGATTTAAAGTATTGAATAGGTACACGTCGAAATAATAATTTATATCTTATATGGGGTACGCAATGAATCAAAGCACAAATAAATATTATATCCAGATTAAGTGGAACTTCACCAAGTATTAAGAATAAGAAGATACCGTTAAATGACTCTCCATTTATGTGGAATTATCTCTTATGAAAAAAAAATTTCCTTGGCGTCTTCATTAAAATTCAAGAGCCATATTCTTACTTCTATGACTAGATTCGGAATTTTGGCTGCTGTTGTGTCTCGATTTTGGCTGTGGTTTTGTGGCTATTATTGTGGCAATTTGCGGTGGTGAGTCGCCATTTTGGCTGGGCAGTGGTGGTCTTTCTGGTGGCGATTTTGGTTGTGTCGGTGGAGATATTTCTGGTGGCAATTTTTCGGTGGTTGGGTCGTGACTTTGGCTGTAGCAGTGGGGGTTTCCGACAGCGATTTTGGTGGTGGTGGACCGGTGGTGCAGTGGTAGTTGGGTTCCGGTGTTGTGGTGGTCAAGAGAGAACAATCGGCCAGAGGGAAGAATTGAAATTGTGGTAGTAGAGGATTGAAAATTGCCATTTCCCTTATTTTGCAATTTTCCCTATTTTTGCTTGAAAACGGCCAAAACGATGCTTTTATTGTTTTGTGTTTTGTGTACAAATTTGATATCGTTTTCAAAAATGCGTTTTCAAAAATAAGAAAGAGAACGCGTTTTCAATGTTTTACAAAATCGAAAACAGAAAACGACCCAAAACAGCCAAAGAGAACAGCACCTAAGTTTTCCCTTTACAGCAGGTTCTAGAAGTTCTGCCTGAAATGTGCAAAACGATGTTTGAATAGAAGATATTGAACATTTTGTCAGTAAACACAAGTCTGAACAAGCCCAAATGCAAAAGAAGATATTAAAAGGGAAATTCCATTTCATATTAGCTTTATATGATTCATGCATTCATTCAGTTCTTCGGTTTTGTTTTTATTCAGTGCAGGAAAGCTATCAAAGTCCAGTGATTCTAAAAGGAAAGTAATATTTATTTCATGATTCTGTTGAATCAATCTGTTTAAGAGAAAATGTTGCACAAAGAAAGTCACCAACAAGTGCTATGATTTTCTTTTGTCAAATTTCGGTTTCCAAGGTAAAGGTTTGGACGAAAAATGTCCCTCAATTGATGAATATCGACTCTATAGAGGCACTCAAATGTATAACGTACAGTAGCATTTCCTAGATGGATTTTGCTACATGTATGTAAAAAATGTGCATAATGAATTACATAATAATTATATAAAAAAGTTGATTGTATTTTGAACTGATAAATAGTAAAGTGTCATATGACATTATGTAATCCAGTATGTTAATCTTGATGTACCTATGGCAAGATTCAACTACCCTTTACTTTCCCCATTTTCTTTTTGGAATCACATCCAGATAGTTCAATTATATGAAAAAAATTAATCAACCATGTGTGCTAAAACTTAATAATAGACAAGAAAAGTAGGGTTAGGAACCTGAGGATCAGCGACAAAAAGGAAAACGGGCGATGTTGTATGAAAGACGCCTTCACAACCATCAACTGCAGAATCAAAAGATCCTTCTTCGATTAAGTTGGCTTCAAACAAATGTAGTCTTTCCTACGCTCCTTCAAGTGTCATCAGGTGTTCAACCTTTCTTGGGTCACCTACATAGAACAAAAACGTTTCAAACAAAAAGCAATTCATCGAAATATCAGTTGAACCTTTTTTCTTGTATTTGGATCCTTATTCTCACTTCTTTTTTATAATCACCTCATCTAAAATGTTAAACTGTTAGAGATCGAACACATTTACTTATATACATGTAGTCTTGAATATGTCATCTCACGTGCAAGAGGATACACTTTTTACCAAAGGCTTGACATGTATACATGGGTAGCTGCGCGGCCTTGTATATACCAATACTTTTTGTTAGATCTTACACTACCTCATCTAAAAGTGAAAATGTTCGAGAGGGAACTTTATTTGAAAATTACTTTAAAAAAGGCTTACACGAATCTTAAGAATCTAGAATTCCCGTGCCTATTCGAAGATGAAATTTCTCTTTTGGAAACCTATTTAGAATATAATGCCTTAAAACTTTTTTCTCCAGGCTTCTTTTTTATAACCATCTCATCTAAAATGTTAAACTGTTAGAGATCAAATGTCACGACCCGTTCCAAGTCACCCTAATAGACCTGACACGTGTCGTGCGCCGATGGTAGATAGCAGCTAAGTGCTAGCCCCACCACCAAGGCGACTATGACCTGTTCTAACTGTGACTCATTTCTATAAAAATTTTGGCAGAATTTCCCTTGTAATATGGACCAAAA